AGGTGACTGATGGCATATGGCACAATTCGGTGTCAAATAGTGACCGTTAGTGGCCAAGACCAGCAACTGGCAAAGTTGACTGAGGGCATCTGGCACAATTTAGCATTGAATAGCAGTAGCTGAGACTAGCCACTGGCATTCAACTAAAGGCATCCAGCACAAGTTGGCATTGGATGGTAGTAGCTGGCAGTGGCAGAAACTAGTACTTGGCACAATTTGTCATCAAATGGTGGCGTGTGGCAGCTGCTGAGATTGGCAATCAGTAAAGTCAACCAATGTATCTGGTATAATCTGGAACTGAGTAGCAGGGCTGGTAGTGGCCAAGATCAGCCAATTGGCAAAGTCAACTGATGGTGAATGGCACAAGTCAGCATTGAACAGGCAGCAGCTGGCAGTGACAAAGACCAATACCTTGCAGAGTGCACCAATGGTATCTGGTACAACTGTGTCAAACACTGGTGGCTGAGACCAGCACGTGGCATTTGGCACAGTTCAGTGTTGAACAGCAGCAGCTAGCAGCAGCTAAGACCAGCAACTGGCAACTGACAGCACCCAGCACAAACTAGTGTCATACAGCAGTGGCCAGCAGTGGCACAAACTAGCAACTGGCAGAGCTGACTAATGGTGTCTGGCACAAGCCAGCATCATATGACAGTGGTACAGATCGGCAAGTGGCAGAGGTGACCAACAAAGGTCATCTGGCACAAGCTGGCACTGAATAAAGGCAGCCAGCAGAGCCATACACTAGAAACTGGCAGTAAACAGATGATGCCTGGCACAAGCCAGCATCAAATGGCGGCAATCAGCTGCAGCAGAGACCAGCAAGGCAGATGAGATTGATAACACCCAGCACTAACGGGTGGCAGTGGGCTGCTAGCACTGCTGAGTCATGATTTCTATCTCTGATGAGCAAAAGAACTCTCAATTGATTGGTGGCATCTACAGTAGTCAAATTCAGACAGACTGAAAGTAGAACTTACTTGCCAGGGACTGTGGGGAGGAGGGAGTGGGGAGCTGCTGTTGCATGGGTACAGAGGTTCAGTTTGGAAAGATGAAATCAGTCTGGATGTGATGGTGATGATAGCTGACCAAGAATGTGTATATACTTAACACTACTGAGCTATTGACTTAAAAACAGTTCAAACAGTAAATTTTCTGTAATGTCTTTTTTACCATAATTTTAATAAAAAGTCAATTATGGTATGTAAAGATAATATTAAAAAAAAGAAACTAACTATCAGACATAAAATATTTTGCTCCAAGGATCTGAGACTCCACAATATGATAGGACTTGAAGAGTTTATACAGCACCAGGTTTGGTGCTCTCGTTCCAACAGGAGCAAACTTAGTCCTGAGAAGGGTCACAGTTTGTGACCATTAACAGCAAGAGTAAGGACTGGACTCCAAGTCTCTTTTCCCTACAACATGCTGTGTTGCTTTCTCTACTGTGAGTTTGGATGAATGGATTCTATTTCTGCTGTGTGCTCGGATACAGATGACCATGGCTGTAAGACTAATTAATGACCCTGTAAATCCCTCCAGGTTCTCTGAAAATCACAAACTAGCAAGAAGCATTGCAGAACTGGTATGGTTCAATTCCATGTGCCCTTGCAATTGCTCAAAAGGACTCTGGGGCCCAAAGACAAACAGCTCACTTTATGCAGTAAATTACAAGATGAGAATAAAGAGCAGAAAAGTGTCCCCTTCCCCATTTCTGGCATTAGTATTGAAGCATAACCTGAATTTAGGATCTAGCAACTCTGTGGCAAAGCAGATGCAGCTGAGGTTAGGCTAAATCTTAGCTTTGAGTTCTCCAGCTTTGTTAAAGCTTGGATTATAGCCACTCCATGACTTGAGGCAGAACTGTTTTAGTCCATGAACATCTCTTTGGTAACTTCTTGATTTTTGTGATCCTGCTGGTGGCTAAGCAGGCCTCTGATTACTTGATGGCTTGGGTTTCAAAGTCCAGATACTCAGCGGGGGATTTAGCTCAATGGTTCCGCTGCCTGCCCTGCAAGCCCAAGGACCGGAGTTTGATTCCCGGTACCAAAAACAAAACAAAACAAAAGTCCCGATACTCAAGGTAGGCACAGACACAGCCAAAATTGAACTTCACCTGGGAATCTGCTCCAGTCTCATCCGTGCTCACTCCCACACCAGGGCTGTGAAAATACACCTCCCCCGTGGCCCATGCATATTTGCTAACATAAAACTCCAGTTCCAGCAGATGGTTTTCTCATCTACATCTCAAAGTTGAAGTGAATCCTGCCCAAACAGATATTTTTCTGCAGTTACTGGCTTTGGGTGTGGTGGTGTATTCCTGTAATCCCAGCTACTCATGAGGTTGAGGCAGGAGGATCTCAGGTTTGAGGTCAGTCTGAGGAACTTGGCCAGACTATCTCAAAATTTAAAAAAATAAAAAGGGCTGGGGATATAGGTCAGCACTCTCCTGCGTTAAGTCCTTGGTATTGAGGAAGAAGAAGAGAAAGGAGAGGACAACGAGATGGAGGGGGAGGAGAAGGGAAAATCTGAGGAAAATAGATATGACATTGGATTTATGTAACAACATGAACATATCATAGTTTAGACAGTAAATCAGTTCACAAAGCTACAAACTCATGAAAACATGCTCCCAGTAAGTACATTTTATGTTCCAGTGGCTTGTTTAAGTCTGTAGACAGAAATCTAGTAATTGAGAACCCTAAAGCTTCTCCTAGATACACAGATCTTTTTTTTTTTTGGTACCAGGGCTCAAACTCGGGTCCTAATGCTTGCGCAGCAGGCAGCGAAACCACTGAGCTAAATCCCCAGCCCTAGATACACAGATCTTAATCATTGCACATCCTCTCTGATCACACACAAAAGGATAATATGACCAGAATGAATCCTTGGTAAAGTTACGCTAATGAATTGGAGACAGCATGTTATGACATTATTCTGTTGCGGCTGGCGGAGAGAATGAATTCTGTGCTTATGACATGCAAGCGTCAGGAATTTTAAAATGTTGAACTGCTGCAGTCAGGCTTGGCCAGTGTCTGCATCTGCACCTCCCAGGAAGTTTGCCGAGACACTTTTGACTCCAGCTAAAGCTGGTTAGCCAGACAGCTTGAGGCAAGCACTAACTAGATGATTCTATGCAGGCTATGTGCAGAACAGGTATTAGGAAAGATGGGCAATGAAAACAGAGACAAGGTCATGTCCCTGGTCTTAGGAAACTTAAAATTACTAAGAGCTGTTATTTGGGGATGGCTGACCACGTGCTAATTCTCACAACTACTTTGTTAGGTGGTACCGATCACCTCTTTTGTATAAATGAGAGAACCCAAGTGCTGTGAGGTTAAGTAACATGACTAAGGACAGACAGTTGCTATGTTGCAGACACAAGATTCACCTGTGACCTTTGTGGTTCTGGAGCTCATAACCTAGGAAGACCACTGGTTAACAATGAGGGGGTGAAACTACTTATCAGAGTCAAGAGATCTTGCTATTCCCAGACATTACACATCTGGTTTTGAGTTATCACAAGACAGTACGATGTGCTACGGCACATGCTAACTTTTCATCTTACTGGGGCACACCTGAGACCAGCATAGCTGAGGGGCTGGTGTGGGGACACATCACTAACTTGTGAGAGATGAGCTGCTACCACATGGTCTCACTGGATAGCAGGGCAGGATTTGCGGACATGTCTTATAAAAAATATGTGGAAATGAATTATAAAATCTTATATGTTTTCTAAGTATTGATAGGTAGAGGTCCAGAGAGGATTCGTTTTAATGCATATGAGAATCACTTTGATTAATATATTAATAGTCTACATTTAACTGGTGCTTTGAAAGAATTGAGGGCTGAATGTTACTGTTTTTCTTTTTAAAATAGCTTAAATTGCTCCCTCATTTCAAATCGCTCATCTTGCAGATAACTCTCAATGGTGGTAACTGAAAAGAAGTGACTGTGCTGTAGCATATAATTCAGTTCATCAGTAATGAGGTGATGTAAACTAAAAAGAGATCTTGTGAAGCTTAGAATACAAGTGAGCAGAGGGGAGCCAACCGGGGAAGCTTCTTGGGGGAGGTGATGAGTCCCTCAGTACCAGATAAGCCTTTCTCTCCCCACCTTTTGGCAGTACCGAGGATTGAAACCCTGGGTACTCTTCCACTGAGCTTCAACCTCAGCTCTTTTAATTTCTTATTTTGAGACAGGGTCTCAGTAACTTTCCAGGCTGGGCTAGACATTGTGATGCTCCTGTCTCAACCTCTCAAGTGGCTGGGCTTACAGGTATGTGCCTCCATGCTAAGCAGCTTATATTCTTTTTTTTTTTTTGGTACTGGGGATCGAACTCAGGACCTTGTGCTCATGAGGCATGCCTGGGGCCACTGAGCTAAATCCCTAGCCCAGCTGCTGATATTCTTAAGTGGTCTCTGCCTCAGCCACTGTGGATCCAAAATAGTCAAAGTCTCTGCAGCTTCCTTTTCTATCCCTTTCCAGCACTAGCCCTTGAAGAAACCTTTTCTGACCACTACCCCTTTGTGCATCTGGGACTTTTTTTCCTATAATTTTGTTTTATAGTTTTAGCATACTTATCTGAAGCTGAAATTATCTTCTAATGGATCTGTTAACTTGCATAGTATCTGTCTCTTTCCACCAGAATGTGAGTATTCCGAAGGAGAAACTTTCCACCCTGCTGACTGTGTGCACTCTCAACCTAGAACTGTGCATGGTACTTGGTAGACGCTTAACAGATTATAAAAAATAAATGGATGGATGAATGAATCAAGAAACTCACCATGGGCCGGAGATTTAGCTCAGTGGTTCTGCCGCCTGCCTTGCAAGCACAAGGACCCGAGTTTGATCCCCGGTTCCAAAAAAAAAAAAAAAACTCACCAGGTCATTATTCTGTCTCCAACCACCAGGGGATATCAGCCATTTTATTTCTAGAGGCCATCCCTAGCACATGACAAAAGCTATAAGGCAAAGGCCAAATATGAATTCCATCTCACCTGTTCTGCTCCCACCATACTGATGGGCTTGCACTTGAAGAGGTGGGTGATGAATTTGGGGATGAAAGAGCTGTGGATATAAAAAAAAATTAGGTTCATTGATTCTCCGGAAAAGAACTACAGAAATTTTTTTTTGGTTAAATCCTCTACCCCCAGAATTTTTTTTAAAGGTGCCATTCATCTGAAATGAATAGACACTTCTCAGATGAAGTAGAAACTGCAAATAAATACATGAAAAAATGTTCAACATTACTGGTCATTTGAGAGATGCAAATTAAAACAATGTTGAGATCCCATCTCACTCTAGAAAGAATGGCTGTTATCAAGAAATCAATCAATAACAAATGCTGGAGGGGCTGTGGGGAAAAAGGAACCCTTTTTCACTGTTGGTAGGAGTGTAGACTGGTGCGACCACTGTGGAAATCAGTGTGGAAATTCTTCAAAGAACTAAAATTGGAGGTTCCATTTGACCCAGATATTCCCCTTCTTGGTATCTTTCCAAAAGAATTAAAAGCATTATACCACAGCGATATATGCATACCCATGTTTATAGTGATACAGTTTGTAATAGCTAAATCTTGGAAACCAAATGCCTATCAACCAACAAATGGTTAAAGAAGATGGGTTTTTTATACAATGGAGTACTACTCTTCCATAAAGAAGGATAAACTTGAGACATTTATAGCTAAATAAATGCACTTTGAGACCATACTCTTAAGTGAAATAAATCGGATACACATGTTTAAATATCTCATTGTTTCTCTGGTGTGAGAAACAGAAAGGGTAAATAAGACCAAAATTTGTAATAGATATTGGGAAATGGGGAAAAAATGTTCAAAAGGGAAGGGGAACAAGGGAGGAGGGAGGGGGAAAGGAAGAAAGGGAAAAGAAAAAAAAGAATAGAAGGAAAAACTAAAAACAAAGCTTTTGTAAATAAAGTGGGGAAGAGGGGTTGAAGGAAGGGGAGGAGGATGGGGAAAAAAGAATCAAGGGATATCATGTATAGGTACAAACTCCCTATGATGAATGTTATCATTTTATATATCTAAAATGTATCAATAAAATTAATTTAAAAAATAAAGGCACCATTCCCTTCCCTAAGAAAACAGAACTGAGGTAGACACTGCTGCCGCCTATCAACATCTATTACCTTCTTTTCCTTCCAATCAAAGCCCTGGTTTTGTTCAGGTATACTTTACATGGCCTTAGGATGCTGGGGAAAAGTTGAGTCCACCCTAAACTACAGAGGTGAATTTTAACCAGCCTCAGTCAGTCTGACAGTGTCATTTCCTAGGTTACTGTTACTGGTCCTGAGTGGGATACAAGATCTAAGCTGGCCCAATCAGCTGGAGGGAAGGACTTAACTGCAAGGGTTAAGTGAGAGCCCCTCTTCTTCCTTAGGACATTGTTGCATTTGGTATAACCTCTATAACTGCCATCCTACCACCAGTTTAAGGATGTTCCAAAGACAGCAGAACAAACAACCTAGGTCTTAATGACATCACTGAACTCTCACATCAACTACTCTAAGATCTGTCCTACCACTGGACTTGCAGTTATATGAAATTTAAAAAAAAATAGGGGCCGGGGATTTAGTTCAGTGGTTCCGTTGCCTGCCCTGCAAGTGCAAGGACCCGAGTTTGATCCCTGGTACCAAAAGAAAAAAAAAACAACAAACCAACCCACCTGTCATTTAAATCAGTTTTAGTCAGGGCTTCTATTATTAGTAGATGAAAACATTTTAACAGATATGAGAGTGAATTATACATGAAGTAGTTATGGGGCCTTAAATGCAGAAACAGGAAATAATTGCTATAGGAATAACTGTCAGATCAGGAAATAAAATAGACTCCAAAGTATTCTGACAATACTCTAAAAAATTTGCTGAGGACTGAGGGTCAACTTATACTAGGTGGGGTGACGATGCTGGTTTAGGGGAAGGAATAGTGAAATGATAATAGGTCAGGAAAGCTTTTTAGGAAAAACTACAGAGACCTGAGTCAAGAAAGCCAGGCTGTACTGATGTGGAATTGAAGGTGTGGAAACTAGACATGCTCATTGCCAAGGCAAGATCCAGAGTGAGGGCCAGGGATTTAGCTCAGTGGTTTGCAAGGACCCAAGTTCGATCCCTGGTACCAAAAAAAAAAAAAAAAAGATCCAGAGTGATCTGACCAGGAAGTGAGTGTCACAGGGCCTTGGCAAAAGCTGGGTCTGTAGATTTAGATAAAGGCTGGCTGCCACCTCTTTCCTCACTCTTTTGATGCTGCACCTGGGCTTGTGCCCTCCTTCTTTTCAATCTCTTCATCTTTTTCTGTATGCTTGTGCTCATTCTAGTAGCGAATGACTTACAGGACATCTTAATGGAATGGCCACCACCACCTAAGATCCAGCCCATGCCAGACTCAGCCCTACCCTGGTCTCCAGGCTCAGGGTACTAGATCTCATCTACTCAGTCATGAAGCCAGGAACTGGGAGTTACCTGAGACTGCGCCTCACCTCAACCCCAACATCCAATCAGTTACCAAGTCTTCCCCTCAACTCCTTATCTGCTCTTCTGATCATCCTTCCCAACTGCTCTCCCTGCCTTCAGTTTTAATCTTTCTAACCCACCTGCTGCCAAATGGATTTATTTCAAATGCAAACATGACCAAGTTTCTTCCCCAATTAAAACTCTTATAATGGCTGGAAAGAAGACCTTCTTTGAATTATTTTTTTCTCCCAAGACAGGGTCTTGCTATCGTCCAGGTTAGACCTAAACTGCTAGGCTCAAGTGATTCTCCTGCCTCACCCTCTTGAGTAGCTGGGACTAGAGGCCCCACTACCTGATCACTTCCTTTATTCTGGATTCTCTGTCTGCAGACTTATCAATGATAAGCCCTGGGATCTTATGCTTCAACCTTGTTGAGCTGCTTTCAGATTCCATGATTCTGAAGGTATCGTAATTCTGGAGCTGGCCATGGTGGCACATGCCTATAGATCCCACTACTTGGGAGACTGAGGCAGGAATTTGAGAACAGGCTGGGCAAGATGAGAACCCTATCTTTATTTATTTATTTGTTTTTGGTACCAGGGATCAAACTCGGGACCTTGTGCTTGCAAGGCAGGTGCTGGGACCACTGAGCTAAATCCCTGGCCCCAAGACCCCCATCATTTAAAAAAAAAAAAAAAAAAAAACTCGGGACCTTGTGCTTGCAAGGCAGGTGCTGGGACCACTGAGCTAAATCCCTGGCCCCAAGACCCCCATCATTTAAAAAAAAAAAAAAAAGAATCCTGCAGGCTGCTAATGCCTCCATGTCTTTGCTTTCACTGAGCCTTCTGCCTGGACTACTCCTTCCTAGGGGCTTGGGAGTCAGTCCTCACACACCTCTCTGACCCTGCTCAGACATTTCTTCTGTGGAGCTTTTCCTCAGTCACTTCCACCATATTCTCATGGAGTCCTCAGGCCTCTAATAATGGCAGTGGCTACCACTTTTTGACTGTCAGATTGGCACCAGCACTTTACAGGAAATTTACCTGTGACTTCCCATTTTATCCTCCCAACCACTATTAAGAGATTTGTCTTACTATCTCCATTACCGAATAGAGGGGAGTCAGCTTAGTGGATGAGGGAAGTTGCTTGTAGTTCAAATTGTGGTTCCAACCAGGGTGTGACCTTGATGTTTAAACAGGAAAGGCTACAGTCCCTGCAGACATCAAATGCAGGCAAAGGAGCCATGGGTGGATTTGCATGGGTGGGGTAGGAGAGGTTAGAGGAAAGGAATTTGAAGTCCAGAGATCAGATCTAGGGGCAGGCCTGCTGACTGAGAGGCAGGGTGAACAAGGGACCATTTGGAAGGGAATCCTCGGAGCTGAAAACCAGAGTCAAACAAGTAATGTGACGTTGAATTAATAACTAATTCCAACTATTCACATAGTTGTCATCCAAGGTACTTCACTCTACAGTAAGCTGTGTAGGGCCGGGGATTTAGCTCAGTGGTTTCACCGCCTGCTGAGCAAGTACAAGGACCCGAGTTCGATCCCCAGTACCAAAAAAAAAAAAAGAAAAGAAAAAAGAATACAGTAAGCTGTGGTTGTGCCCTTGAACTGGCTCTATGTACTAGTCTACATGGGATAGGCCAGGGAACCACAGGGACCAGAGTGATGTCTCTGGGGCACAAATCACAGCAATGTGGTGGGTAAATGCCATGGGCTTCTCTGGGCCATCAGGATGGTAGTGGCTGTTGCCCTTGGTTGGGGAAGGGTCTCCTCACAACCCCCACCTCTCAAGTTACTGGAGTGAGGCTGAGATTTTACAAGAATGAGAGGGTACCATTGACTAAAACCGAAATACTTTCTAGATCACAGGTTGAATTTTTCCAGATGTGAGCGGGCATCCTATTCCCAGTTCACTCAATATGAGCTTAGTAATAAAATTAAAGGGCTCTGAGCAAATGTGAGGCTGATGCTCAGATGAGCTAAACAATGGCCTCCTTATTTACTCGAAGGTGAGCTCAATCAGACCCCTGGGTGATCACAATGGAGATTTTTAGTCACAGTAAATTTTTAGAGACATTTCTACCAGCAGTTATGGGGAGTGTCACAATGTGATTTATCAGCAATGCTTTTAATACACATTAATGAACACTCAGAGAGTGAAGGGAATGTCAACTCCTGGTCCATCTGCCATACTGCAAACATTAATGCCTCCCTGGAGAGTCTACTCTATCCTTTCTTGACAAAGTAGAAACTAAAGCTAACTCTACAGGCCACTCTGTTATGGTTGCTCCTTAGGAATTTATTTGTGTCAGAGAGAGAAAGTTCTAATTGAATACAAACTGGGAGAGATTTGGAGAAGACAGAAACTTGGAGTCTTGAATCACCCTTTGGGACCTGGATCAGGATAACCCAAACACAGTAGCTTGGACACGGCTGCCTTTCCCAAAGCTCTTCCCTAAGAAGTTTGCCAAAATACTTATTTGATAATTGGTTGGGAGAAGCACTGGCCTTCTACATAGCCTGGTCTCATGGGAAACAGTGCTATCGCCAGATGCTGACTGGCAAAGGACCAAACTATTTCTGGGAGGTTTTTTGTTGTTGTTGTTACCAGGGTTTGAACTAGGGTCCTTGCGCTTACAAGGCAGGCAGCATAACCACTGAGCTAAATCCCTGGCAGGACCAAACTATTTCCTTGCTTCAAAACTGAAGCCAGAAATTGCCACACATGAGGATGTGATAGAAGACATGTAGTTCAGTGTTTCTTCCATCTACCTTGGCAATAAAGCTGACAGGCTCTTCCCAATTCCTAGAACTTTCTCTAGATCCAGGGATATCTACAAGTGGACAAACTCTAGCAGCTACATTAATAAATATTATGGAGAAGAAGGAAGACGAGTCTTAAAAGAACCATAAGTTGATGACTCTTATCCTTAAAAAGTTTATAATCTAGGCAGAGACAAACTATACACATGAATTCCCTGGAAAATAATTTTAATTATCCAAACACGGGCAAGGGGTTACATCCATATACTTCCAAATAACAGGATGCCCTCATTTTTGTTAGCCTTGATGTGGCTTATGATTATACTGCTATTACTGCATATATGACCTTAAGTAGCAGATTTGGCTTTATTATTATAGTCCTTTAGGGGTCAAGTTAATATTAGTTTGCCTATAGGGACCAGAATGAACCCCAGCTGATAGCAGGAATCCCTGAATTGTGAGCATGGCAGGTGGTGAATATGGCATTAAAATAACTCTGTTGAAAAATAGAATAAAATAACTTTGTTGAATCTTTAGCCATTAGGGAAATGTAAATCAAAACTACACTGAAATTCTACCTCAACCCAGTCAGAATGGCTAGCATCAAGAATACAAAAAAACAATAAATGCTGATAAGGATGAGGAGGAAGGCCTCTCCACTGCTGTTGGGAATGTAAATTAGTACAGCCACTATGGAAATCAGTGTGGAAGTTCCTCAAAAAACTAAAAATAGAGCTACCATATGACTCTTCTATACCATTCCTTGGTATATATCCAAAGGAATTAAAGTCAATATATACAGAGTATCTGTACGCTCATGTTTATTGTGGCATAATTCACAATAGCCAAGTTATGGAACCAGCTGAGGTGACCATCAATAGATGAATGGATCAGGCTGGGGATTTAGCTCAGTGGTTCCGCCTCCTGCCTTGCAAGCGGAAAGACCCGAGTTCGATCCCCGGTACCAAAAAAAAAAATAGATGAATGGATAAAGCATGCTGTATATATACAATTAAATATTATTCAGCCATAAAAATCAAAATTATGTTATTTGCAGAAAAATGGCTAGAACTAGAAATAATATGATAACCAAAATACTGCTGCCTCAGAAAGACAAGTACTGTACATCTTCCCTAATATGTGGGATTTTCTTTTGGTATGGGTTGCAATTTTTAACAACAAAAAAATGAGACAGGGGCTGGGCATTTAGCTCAGCTGCACCGCACCTGCCTGGCAAGCGCAAGGTCCTGATTTTGATTCCCCATACCGGGGAAAAAAAAAAGACATAAAAGTAAAAGGGAGACTATTATTAGATAAGAAGAAGGGAATAAGGGAGAGGGAAAAAGGGAATATGGGGAAGAGTAATGGGAGATGGATATTATCAAAATATGTTAATGCATGTATGAAAATACCACATTGAAACCCAGTATTTTGTAAAATTAATATGTACTAATAAAAGTTTAAAAAAACCACCATTGAGCATGATATCATAATGGCAGACACATATCATTAAGGATTTTTCCAGACCCATAGAATGTACAGCATCAACAGTGAACTACAGACTTTGGGTGATAATATGTCTGTTTGTACAACTCTGGTGGGGGGTGTTAATACTGGGGGCATTTGTGCAAGAGGGGGCATGAAGTACATGGGAAATCTCTGTACCTTCTGCTCAATTATTTTGTGAAACTAAAACTGCTCTAAAACATAAAGTCTATTTAGAAAATAAAAACAACTCAGTGATGAGAATGCTCCAGAACTTACTTTGCAAATTTAATGCAGAACTGAGTAAAGTATTTCCGTGTGGAAGCCAGGCTGTCATGGATGATGGGGACATTCTGCTTAATGTGAAGAATGACAGAGGTGACATAGGGGCTCTGGTCACCAACGTGCTCCACATTCTGCCACTGCATCTGAAATAGAGACAGGACAGGAAGAGACTTTAGACCCTTCACAAGGGAACCTACTGCCTGTTACTGGGTAAGGAAAAGGGTGGAATGGAAATTAGGTCACTGACTGGTATAACAGGAATTGGCCCCTTTTTCTCTTACCCTTTATGTAACACAGTGGCTCATCATGAGTAAAAACAAGCATGCCCACCTTCAACTTCACGGAGAAGTAGACCTCAGGCACCTTTCCTTTTCCTATGGGTCCCCATCATCCTTCTAAGAGCCTTCCTTTCCCATCTAAGTTGCTGTCTTGTAACGGGACCCTCACTAGATAGATGAATGAGGATTTTATTCTGTCAATTGTTCTACCAGTGAGACTGTGGGACAACAGGGGAGGGACATTTATTTCCAAGGAGATACAGCCTGAGAGATCAGAGAGGTGGCTAGGCTAAATGCAGAGAGACCTGGAAGAAGATTAACTTATACCTCCTCTCAAGCAAATTTGGAATTCTTTAAGAAAGGAAGAAATTATAGGACATATGAGAGTTGCTCAAAATACCTTGGGGTTGGGGGAAGGGAATGGGGATGCAGATCAAACATGATTAGTAAAGCTGGGTGATGGGAACATGGGGTACACTATGCTGTTATCTCTGCTTTTGAATATATTTTAAATTTTCTATGAGAAAAACATTTTATTTATTTTTTGTTTTTTGAGACTGGGTCTTGCTATGTAGTCCAGACTGGCCTTGAACTTCCTATATAGCCCAAGCTGGCCTCAAACTCACGGTGATCCTCCAGCCTCAGCCTCCCGAGTGTTGGGATCACCAGTGTGCCTCACCAAACCCAGCAACATTTTTAAAAGGTGTGCAGAGTGAGGTGCTGCTGTGCACACCTATAATCCTAGCACTCTGGGAGGCTGAGGCAGGAAGATTGCAAGTTCAAGACTAGCATGGGCAATTTAGTGAGACCTTGTTTCAAAAAAAGACTAGGGTGTATCTCACTGTGAAGGCTCTGTGTCTAACACCAGTATAGTAAAAACAACAACAACAAAAAGTGTGAGTATGGAAAAGAATCTCAAGGTTCTAGAATCTTGGGGCTTCGATGTAATTTCAATAAAGGGAAAGGAAATAGGATCTTTGGCAAACACTAGGAGCAGATCAAAGAGTAAGACAGCAACAAGGGGAACAGGGCAGAAAGAGGCACAGGGACTACAGGGGTGACAGCCTCAGGGGAGACAAGTGCCACAAGAAGACTGATAAATTTCAGGCCGTGAACAAAAACCAGCTCATGCTCTGTCACCCTGAGGAGACTTAGCTGACACACTCTGGAAAACAGAAGGAAGCACCTTGTGGTATGAGGGGGGACAGGGGCAGCATGGGTTCCTAGCCTGGTTGGCAAGGAATGGGGACTTGAATTGTGACAAGAGTGGGGCTGTGCTGGAGAACTGCTGAGTCAGCCTCTCAGAACTGGCTGGACTGTCTGCTAAACAGACCTCGAGCCAAACACAAACCATAGACCGCTCATAGAAGGAGGTCAGTGGTTCTTGGGGCTTGATGTCTCTGGCAAGAAAACACTATTTTTATAGAGCTCTTGGGGAAAAGAAAAATTTGATATTGAGACAACTTGTTTAAAAGAATCCTATTGTACGCAGATGCTTCTCCAGCGGGAAGCTAAAAGGACTGTTTTGTCCTAAAGTTTCTTCAAATCAGCAGATGTTGATACTATAGGTATGTGTGAGTACAAACCCTTAGAAAGGCAGGGAGGTATCTTCATCTTCACTTTATAGATAAGAAAGCAAGGCCCAGAGTTGCATGTAGGGCCACATGCCTGTAATATCAGCTACTTAGGAGGCTGAGGCAGAAGGATTGCAAATTCGAGGCCAGCCTGGGCAATTTAGCAAGGGCCAGTCTCAAAATTTTAAAAATATATAAAAAGAGTGGGGAATGTATTTTTGTGGTAGAATGCTTGCCCAACATGCAAGGTCCTGGCTTCAATCCTCAGTACCACAAGAAAAGAAAGAGAGAGAGGAAAAAGAAGTCAAGGCTCAGCATATGAACAAGACAATACAAGGCTTCATAACCAGGCTCCAGAGAAAAAACATTTTTTCTTTTTTTTGGTACTGGGGATCGAACTTGGGACCTTGCGCTTGCAAGGCAGGCAGCAGAACCACCGAGCTAAATCGCTGGCCCGAAAAACCATTTTTTAATGGGGTCTCACTATGTTGTTCAAACTGTTCTCCAAATCCTGGGCTCAAGCAATCCACCCACCTCAACCTCCCAGGTGGCTGGGACTGCAGATGTGTGGCACTGTACCCAGCAAGAAAAGGAAAATTTACTGGGAAAAAGGAGAAACAATGAAGTAGTAGAAATCAAATTGTCTTTATATTCAAATGTTTTGGTTATATGTAATGTTTTCCTCATTATCTTTTACCTTATTAGAGAGGCTCTTCTTCCATCTGATTCTAAAGATCTGACCCTTCCACACAAAATGAGTACCCTAGGTGATTTTCAATGAGTTCACAGGGTGAGGCCCAAACTGACAGGAGCTGTTAAGTCTGTACTTCACCTCACCCCTAGCAATGCAGCAAGACCTGGAGCAGATTGCACTGTGAACTGGGCGGGGGCCAGTCCCCCTCCCCCCAGTCAACATGAAGCTTTCCATGGAAATGACTGCTGCTTTCCAAGCTGGCAGCATTGTATATTTCAAAATCCCAAAATGGTTTGTAAATAGTTATCTAAACAGTTCTGGACTCACAGAAGACAACCATAAATGGAGGTGGTGATGTGCTCTGTCACTGGTTACAAAGCAACACTGTAGCAAGATAGAGCACGGGGTGTGGAATTTTTGCAAGTTCCTGCTCATTAGTTTGTATATACATCATCTAACTCCTCTTAATAACCACTGCCCAAGCCGGTAGGTGTTCACATTTGGGATATATGTGCAAGGGTCTGATTTGCTTCAGTATTTTCGCCAGTTCTAACTCCACTGGTCAAGTTAAAAGAAATATTAGCAAAAGTCAAATGGACTCATTATTTTAAATTTTAGCTTAATCACATAAAAATGATTTAAATTACTGGAAAATAATGAAAACTGACATTGCTTTTACTATTTTTTCAAATGTGCAAAATATAGTTAGCAGTGATTCTGTCCAATTATTGTTTCAGATGGTTGATCCTTGCTCTCTGCCATCCGGATCACTTAAGGTTTGGGCTATAATTTGCCCAAGAAACCTATGTTATGACCTACCATGTGCAGGTTGATATATATATGTGATATGTATATACATGATATATATATATTTAATTTTTACAACGATCTTGTAGATGAGGAAACTCAAAAAAGCTCACAGAGATTATGTAATTTGTTCAAAGTTACACAGCTGGTAAAGGATACAGTTGAGATAACCAGGTCTTACTTAAGCCCAAATACTACATCAGGCTGTTCGCTAGACACTTGTAAAATAAATAAATGAGAATAAAAGCATTTAGCTTGGACTTAGTTAAAAGTAAGCCCTATTTCTCAAAAAGCTAATGAAATATACAGTGATTAGGCAAAGGTCTCTTTCGTCTTTTTTTTTTTCTCTTTTTGGTACCGGGGATCAAACTCAGGACCTTGTGCTTGCCAGGCAGGTGCAGTGCCACTGAGCTACATCCCCAGCCAAAGATCTCTTTCAAAAAAGGAAAGAAGTAGCAGTTTGTACTTGAAGAAAAAAAAAATCATGAAAAACCATCAGTAGAAGTAAGACTTCAATGTTTTCAGGTAAACTTTGCATCTGACATTCAAAAGTCACTCCTCTATAATTTAAAGCTTTTTCTTTTGTGGTTTTTGTTTGGGGGTAAGATGGTGTGGAATGGAGTTGAATACCAGATGGTGTTCATCTGATACTATTATAAACAACAAGAAAGAGTCTGCAAAAGAGTAGTACCAAAAATGCAGGGTTGATAGAAGCAGCAAGCAAGATAATAACCATCAGCCTCCATGACTCCAAATTTAACCTCAGGGAGAGAATATGGGGCCCAGAACATCCCTAGGGCTATGCTTCTGCTGCCTGAAGTGTGTGGTCCATTTGATACTTCCCAGAGAAGGCTGGGAGACCATCACTATTCCTAGAGAAGGCCAGGTGTAGCAGGGAACTCTGACCAATCCAATGATCTGACAACAAAGCCCCACAAACAGCTTACTATAGATTTTTTTTTCTTTTTTGGTATTTCTAAAGCTTGGAAACAGGTCTCCTGAGAAACTTATTTGCATCATCTGAAAACTTAAATTCCCACCTATTAATTTTGACCACTGAATTAGATTCAGAGCATCATCTCAGGTGTTTGGACTGGCCAACTGGGGGGTCTAGTGTTGTGGTTTAGGCTGCTAAACTATGGGCCCCAAACCACTACTCAGGGACATACTCACTCTCACTCTCTTTGATGCTTGTTTGGGCTATTTTTCCTCCTACAATAAGCATCTGCTATATTTATAGGTACTTTCTGCACATATAACATTGGACCAAACATTGTGTAGGAATGAATATTTATGACCACCTACTATGTGCTAGGCACTGTGAGTGACATTTTCACATGAACTTATTGTTTACAACAGTGCAGTGAAGGAGGTATTACTCCTGCTTTACAGATGACAAGACAGTCTCAGAACAATGGGTGACTTGTCTAATGACGCGTAACTATTTAGCAGGACTGAGATCTAGACATTGGTCTAAACTCAAAGTCCATGTTCTTTCCACTTTACTGTATTACTTCCCCAAAGAAGAGTTACTACCCTAAATGAACCTGAAATTAGCTGGGGGAACTGGGGTAAGCAAAATCTGGCTGGAATGAAGGAGCAGATATATTGATGTTGTGGTCTTGGTGATAGTGGTGTAGAGGAAATAAAGGAGTGATACATTTTACATCTTTTCTCAAGGATACATGTTCCTTAACTCTAAGCAAGGAAAAATCAAGATGATTCACAGTAGACAGTGAAGTAACAAAGGGTTTAAGGACTATATTACTTGCATTCATTGCTGGGCCAAC